GAATATATTTTAGTTAGATATACACGGACAATAGCACAGATTATGATAACATATGTTTACGTAACTCTGTTGCTATTGTTGTCAAGGCTGTTGTGTCACACATGTGCAAAGCGTGTGTCCAGCTAAAGGATATAATGAGCTGTGCGTGTCGCATTGTTATTATGTAATTCATTACAAAATATTAACAGTCAAAATCAGACTCAAGGCCATAGGTCATCTAGCAACTATCTATACATTCGACAGACACTCTAACGGGTTGAGTTTTGCATAAGTTTGTGTCTGGAGAGCTGGTCGCGCTGCGGGTTACTTTGACAACTGAAACTGAAACTGGGTCAATTCTGTGTCACATGCAAAACATTGCCGGTTGATTTACGACTGCCACGAAATGGACAGCCACTGCATCTGCAACAGTAACAGCAACAACAACAGCAAATGCCACTGCAGCACGTTGAGATTGCGGATGCAAAGACAACAAAGTCCAAGACAAACAGAAAGAAAAAGACTCTGAGGGCGAGTGAGAGGGGAAGAGGCGACGCTGTCATCTTTTGTCATGGCCATAAAATGTCATTTTAAGCGTGTCTTGCTCTAAGGCGTGCTGGCTGACTGTTTCCACTTAAGTTCGTTTGTCGCTGTCGTCGCATAGTCTTTGTTGTCGTAAAATCGCGCATTTCACTGTTTGCTGTCCTTTGACATGTCTGCCTATCTGCATACCTGCCTGGCCTGGCCACCTAGCAGCAAGCGGATCAACCTTTGTTTTGCCTTCTATGGCAAATTATGCAAAAGCGCATTTTACTTAATGACCTTTCCACATCTTCGACCCTGTGCCCGGTTCGAAAGGGGTTTCAGCTCTTCTTCACAATTTTTTGTGGGCGTTTTGTTATACCAACTTTACAGCCGAAAATACTTTTGCATCATCATCAGTGAACCGAATTCGTTGGGCGTTAATATATACTCAATGCCTATCAGTTCTTGAGCCTCCAGCAGGCAGGCAGGCAGTCCGGCAGCAGCCGCTGAGATCATGCTTAAGTAAATAACAGAATCGCTTAAAATTGGGTCAGGGCACACCTCTTTATAGCTCCCGGCCCATTGACAGTTCGAGTTGGCTGCCCAGTCCCAGCCGGCCCAGCAGCACATTCACATCTACATCTCACATAACTCATAATAAGCAACGCCCACAAACCAGACAAACACAAAATCTGGCCCGCATTGACGCGCTTCACAACATTTTCACGACTCCACACCAAAAGTTATAAAACAAGAAATGCTATGCAAACATAACAAACAAAACAAAAATATCGAATGAGCTCAAATTAACATTGTCTGGGTTAAGAATTTGCAAATATTTAAAAACAATAGAAATGCTGTTTTAGCTCTTGAAGCTTGTTAACTGCTTAACAGCGAGAGGAAGAAGACAAACAGAAATGTTTCTTTACCTTCCTATATATGCCAACGACTGCTATATATATTCTTGAACTAATATATTAACAAGCTATTTATATGAACAACTTTTTATATTGTAATTAGCCAACTTTATAGCACGTATAGCCCGTACAGGAATCTAATAAAATACTCATAACTGTACCTGCGCATCTGTCGCAGCTGGTGATTTGACCAAATACTAGAACAGTTAAGCACGAAACAAAAGAAAAACCTATGAATATGAGTTATATGCATCTGATTTCATCATCTCTCGAGCTGGCTTCTAATGACTCCAAACATAAATATATATCTTTAAGTCTTTATCATTTTAGTTTATGTAGATTGGATGCTGTATAATTTAAGTTTATCTTTAGCTATTTGCTGCCCAATTAAGAATTTAAAAATTTCGTTTAAGTGTTAAGCATTCAAACGCAGTCGCCGATTGCTTTTAGGCGAATCAAGCGCGTTTTGGCCAACTGACTTGACATATTCAGGTTAAAGAGATGCGACTTAAGCCCACTTTTGATCTCATTTGCGTTGCAAAGAGAAAAAGCAACAACAACAACAACAACAACAACGGCAGCATAAACTGTTAGCATTCTGATTCACTTTCATGCGCAGCGCGATCGTCGATTCCGATTGTGATTGTGAGCTAAGCCGAAAGACGCACAAACAAACAAAAGTTACTCCAAACACCAACACGCACACACAGACAAAGCCACACGCACAGAACGAAATGCAACAACAATTACAACAAAGCTGAGAATGAGATTTTATTTGCTTAACCAACGCTGTGAATATTTAATTTGCACACACACACACACACGCACACACAGCGCTTTAACGACGCTGCTGACCCACTTTTAAAGCAGAGGCAGCTTAAAAGCTTACGGCAGAGAGCCATACAGCGCTAATAAGAACAGCAATGCCGCCATTACGAATACAAATACCCTCATATACGCGCGTACACACACACACATACACACACACGTTATTGTTGTTGTTGCTGGTGGCATGTGCGTGCAGAGGAAAGATACTCACTAATTAACTCAACCAAAAGTCAGCCAAAAGAATCAACCAACTCATTTGCAAATTGTGTCTGTGCGAGCGAGAGCCACATATGCACTCAAGCCAGGTGTGAGCAGCAGAGCGAGAGAGTGAGGCTTTGGTGAAAGGGCATGCAAGAGCAGCGCACAGGTAACACCCATATAAATTATGCTTAGGAAACCACAAAAAGAAGTTGGCCAAAAATACAATGACATCATTTCATCAATTCAGTTAGTAGGTTAGTTAGTTGGGAGCGAAATAGTAAGAAGAATCTTAAAAGAGCTGATTACATGCATAGCAACGAGACGTATCTGAATTTAAAAGAAGTCTTGTATCTATATATACATATATCTTTATATAAATATATAGAAGTGGGAGAGAGTTAGCTTAAGCCTTACATAATGTTTTGGAAATTACAAATAATTTTCTGATTATTTCGAGAAGGTTTTTTTTTAACATTTAAGCAGCACTTTAAGAGCTGCACTTGATGAATCAATCGGTAAATCCCAACGCACCTGCAATAAAATCATCTTCCTCATTCTCTCCCGCTCTCCTCTTTTAGCATTACGATCAGTATTTACACAACACCCACACCATGCCAATACTCACGCACCCATCACGCAGACTTGTGCATATGTTATCTACCGCATTTATTGTTCAACACTGTTAAGTAACCATCATCATCCAAGTTTTGTTTATGTTCGCTGCTTTGGCCCAAATTCTTGAAAGCTGACAGCAACCACACACACGCACACAGAGTGAAAGAAGGAGAGCGAGGGGCTGCTGGGGGGCAAGTGGCAATTCCAGTTCCATTCCCATTCGTACACTCCCGCTGTGCGCTTGCTATGTAAAACGCTGTGGTTCTTTGCTCGTTTCAGTTTCAGTCGTTGTTGTTGTTGCTGTTGTTAGGGTAATCATTGTCGTGCTGGCGATTCTGTTTCATTATTTCGTACCCACGCTTTTGCCTTGGTTGCTGCTTCTTCCCCTATCTATCACATCTTCGTTTTCTGATGATGATAATGATGATGATTCCACTTGATAGCGATTGTAATGAGCTTTAACATGAATGTTAGCGTTCTGCCCGCCTGATCATCATCATCATAATCGTGATTTTCTCAAAAGATGCAGATGCTGGCACCATCGTCATCATTTGCTGGTCACGCTGCGGTTTTTTTCCTTCTCCTTCTCCTTTACTTTTTGTCTTCTTTCTTCGTTGCCTTCTTTCGTTTTCATTGTTTTTGCTTGTTTAACCAATATTTTGCCGCTCGATAATGAAAGGAAAGCAAAACAAGAGACGCGCCGAGCCGAGTGCCCCCAAAACAACAATACTTTATAATCATCAAGAGTGAATCTGCTTGGGACTCGACTCGCCTTCGAGCTGGTGAAATGCTTACAATTGCTGCTGCTGCTGCTGTTGTTGTTGTTTTTGTTCTCCAACTCCCCAACTCCTCTACACCATTTTGTCGGTAACCCCCGGGCACAGGCAGCAGCTTGAAATTTTGTTGGCTTTCATTCTGTTACGGGAGATTTCATAATATTTGCACTGGATGTGCGAATGCGTCTCTGACTCTTACAGGTGTGTAACCCACTTCTACGCGCCGAAAAGGCCTGAGAAAATTCTTAAATGGCAAATGAAAGATGCGACGCACGTTTCCAGGAAACGACATCGTCCCATGTACTTACTCACATCAGCCTAATGAAATGCTAACTCGCTACAAAGGGCGATCAATTACGAGCAGCAACAGACGAAGTAGTATTATTAATATATAGAGACTGAAGCTTTCAAAATTTTTGTTGCCTGCCTAAAAGTAGGCAATGAATTGGTGAAAGAATGACAGACTTGGATTAAGATTTAGATTAAGTTTGAGTTGGATTACATATTGGAGGCAAATTCAAAGAATCAAATATTAGAATAAAATAATATATTAATTATAATTTTATAATATTTGTAAAGGAAAGGAAATGCCATTTCCACCTCTTAGTTTTTCATTTAAATATATATTTCTATGCTTAATAAATCTATCTGATCATTATAATAATATTATTATTTAATTATTATCACATCTTTATTATATCGTTATACTTTAATGTTAGCTAGATAACATCTTTTATCTCAACTAACTAACTAACTAATAGAATATCCCTTTCTAAAGCTCCGATTTAAATCACTGCCTTGTATATATATATAATTATAAACATATTTACGCTTCTGATTAACTAGAGCACACCCTGTATATAAGTTTTAGATTACCCATTGACCTTGCCTAGTCATTTTTTGATTAAGTGCACATGTATAAATGAGGAGCCAAATCAAGCCATCGAAATTTCCATTAATGATAATTAAACTCACATCAGAAATAGTGTCCGACGCACAAGGAAGCCGTAAAATAAAAATAAAACAACAATCGTATCAGCTATGCTGATAAGTGTCTAGAGTCGTGTGTGGAGTGTATCTGGGTGTAGTCTGTCTGGAAATCGCTAGCTGCTTCTTCCCGATTTAATTATGCAATTGATTCGCTCATTTTTGCCACAAGCTACAAAATTACAAAGCAAATATTGCAGCATATTGACATAGGAGAGGGCCGCGAGGCGCCTCGACAGTGGCCTAGTTAAGGTGTGTTCTAGTTCTCGCTCTCCTTCGCCTCCTCTTTTTCGGTCGCGTTCTCATTCAATTTGCTGCAGACGCAATATATCGCTGACGACGTCACCAGCCATATGCGAGCCCCTCAATGTTGTGCTAGAAAAACGTGCAAAGGTCGCTCTCTGAGCAAGTGGAACAGATTTGATGGAGTAGAAAACGTGCTCACGTACTCACGACGAAAAGATTTACCAAAGAGTCAGACACATTAAAATGTTAACATAAAATACTATATTTACATTATGAATATATTTATTAGCCTTAATTTTATTTAACTTGTATGAAATATTAACAAATATTTTAACATCGCAATAAATTTAAATAGCTGAAGCACACATTCAAGTCGTGAGCACATTTTCCACTCTCCGTTCGAACGCTCTCTGAGAGTCCAACTAGACTGTCAACATTACCAACAGTTGCTGCTCTCTCGTCGCAGTCGACGCGTGTTTTGGAAGCAACAATTCAATTTCAAATGCTTCGCCGACAGTTTTGGTTGGTACTACGACGCGATTCCAATTGGACTCGAACAGTTGAACGCGACAGAAGTCAAATTAATTCCAAGTGGATTTAATAAAAGTGCCAAAATTAGGACTTATCAACTTATCAACTAGTTGCCGAAATTAGCATAAATCGCACAGCATGGAGCGTATTTTGAGAGGAATTATGCGTTATCGCAACACGACCCGCGAGCAAATGGTCAAAGAATTTCAAAAAGTTCGCGACCACCCAGAGGTGAGTAGCTGCACCTTCGAGAGCTCTAGCTAAGGCAAAGCACGGGCAGTCACTGAATTTGTTAAGTTGTCATTGAACGAGGAGCTTTTAAAACAGCTAAGCTAAATACATATTTACTGAGGCATAACTTCGACTTGTGCGGCATGCGATTTGTTTTTTGTGTGGGTAATTATCACAAATCAAACAGAAATCGAAACACTTCGAGAGAAGCTTGCAGCACGCTTATCTCGCATGATGTCGCTCTGTCTCTCTCTCTCGTTGAATGTGTCATACAAGGCATGCCTTTTACGTATGCCTGAGGGTTTTCTAGAGCTTAGACTTTGGGAGCAGGCATCACCTGCTCATTCACTCGCACTCAGCCTCTTTCGCTCTCTCACGCTATCTTGATTTTGGTAAACAAACAAGAAAGAGTAACCGGTTGAGTTTACTCAAGTGCAAAATATTTATTTCTGTTTTATTATTAAATACTTAACATGAAGGCTTTTTCCACAATATTTTGCTAACTGTGTTATTAATAATAAACAGAAAAGAAAAAACTTTCAGGTGCAATTGAAGTCAGCTTGCATATTGGTTAAGCACACTAGATTTGAGATGCATTATTTACCATAAGACAGAGAGATTGACTTTGACAAGTTCATCATATCACATCAAGCACTTTGGCTTCTGTCCAAAAATTGACAAGTTGACCATAAGGCTGTGTTACTATATATACTTCTTTTATCTAATACGAGAGTTCGATATCTGTTCTAATGTTTAACGTTTACCTTATCAGCCGAAGGCCGTCTTCTTCACCTGCATGGACAGTCGCATGATACCCACGAGATACACGGATACACACGTTGGCGACATGTTTGTGGGTGGGTACGACAAACTCATCGAATCGAATAAAACCAATATAATTTCTAACACCTGCTCGCTTTCACATGATTAGTGCGAAATGCGGGAAATCTGATACCGCACGCCCAGCACTTCCAGGACGAGTACTTCAGCTGTGAGCCAGCGGCATTGGAGCTCGGGTGCGTGGTGAATGACATCAGGCATATTATTGTTTGTGGGCACAGCGATTGCAAGGCCATGAATCTTCTGTATCAACTCCGCGATCCCGACTTTGCATCCAAGGTAGGATTGTGTCCAATCTTCCTCATAGAAATGATATGAATATCCGCATTTCCCTTTCACTATCTCAGTTGAATCGTCGACTATCTCCTCTGCGCTCCTGGATGTGCACGCATGCCAATACCAGCTTGGAAAGGTTTCAGGAGTGGCGCAGTGCAGGCATGAAGGATCCCCTGATATTCTCCTCTGAGACGCCGCTTCGCCGCTTTGTCGCCTACATTGACGAGGAGCAAAAGTTTGCCGTTGAAGACAAGCTATCACAGATCAATACACTGCAACAGATGTCGAATATTGCGTCATACGGTTTCCTTAAAACTCGCCTCGAATCCCACAATCTGCACATACACGCACTGTGGTTCGATATTTATACAGGTGACATTTACTACTTTAGTCGCGGTGCCAAGCGTTTCGTTGCCGTGGACGAGTCCAGCGTAGATCAGCTCTCGGCGGAGGTGAGACGGTTCTACTCCTAGGTTGGCCACTTCTCAGCCAGCAGTGCCTTGGATTTATGTGTCTGTGATATGTGCTACGCGATGTTGGGTCTTATATACATAGTTGTTCCCGATTTGTTACTCGTTTTATATATATATGTGTTATTAGATGTGGCATTTATATGTATATATGAATATGTCTTATGGTTAGCAATTTGTATTTATAAAAGTTTGTTTTTACATGGTGTGGTGTTTGTTCTTTGTATATCAACTTAAGGCCTAAAGGTTTAATGTTTAAAGCGTTCTTATAAATGTAGGAAATATCAACGCTCATACTCGTTCGACGAACAAGAAGGCATTGGCTATATATGTTTTGGGAAGCAATAAGACTTTCGCTGTGCAACAATAAACCGTGTGCTTTTCGTAACGGAAAACAAACAGTAACAGAAATGGATAAACATTAAACTTAACGACAATCACACAATCAGACGGCACATCAGTGGTACTTGTGATTGTGATGGTTCATGGCAATGTTATTTGGATTCTCCAACTCCTCAAAGTACTTGCGGGCGTTTCGTATATTGACAAGCGTCGCCTCCGAGGGCAGAGTGGGATCCGACATGACCACCATGACGTACGTGTTGCTAGTGAAGGTATCGATGAAGGCAGCAAACGCATTGTTGCGCACCTCCATCGATTGGAACTTGGCCCCCAGCTTCGAGCAGCTCAGCTTAAACTGTTTTATGATGTTCGAGACCTTCTCGAAACGATGTGAATCACGATTCTTTTTGCTCTGACAGTGCGAGATGACCAAAAAGGTTGCCTTCTCGAACAGCAGCACTTCGTCCGCCTCAATCACATTGGCAAAGTGGGTCAAAGAGTTCTCCAGCGCTGCCACATTGGGAATTAGCATGGTCACAATAGACGACCAAGCTCTGTGTGATTAATTGAAGTTGATTATCTTTTAAGACACATTTCATACATCTGTATATTTACTTACTTGTACAATGTCTCATCCCAAATGCTGGTGCGAAAGCACGTCACATTACCGGGCTTGGACAAACCTATGAGATCTCCCTCGCGCACCTTAAAAACAAGATCGCGTTGGTCTTCGGCAAGCAAATCCATTTTGTGCACTAGACAAAATATCTTAGCTTCTGGTGAGTTGTGAAGCAATGCTTCGAGACAACTTTGATAGTAGTGCACATCGCGCTCGAGCTCCTGGCTCTCCACATCGAACACATAGATAAGAACCTCCACATTCCGAAAGATGTTGTCGGGCTGCTGCGTACAATATTGCTGCATAAAACTTTCCTGGCCGCCACAGTCCCACAGATTGAGAACCAGATTGCCCAGAAAGCGCACATGGGAATGCTCAACATCGACTGCAAATGATTAATTGGTAAGCTCCTACTATAGTTGATACGGTATAAAAACCTATTTACTTGTTGCTCCCAGGCGTGTCGTATCACGGGCAACGTAGTTGGCAAAAATTATGGACCGCATACTTGTCTTCCCGGAGCCGCTCTTGCCCATAAGCAGTACCTGTCGTGTGTAGGAAACAATTAAAATGTCAGTCTGATTGCCATTTATGCAGAATTTGTTATTTATTTACCTTTTTCTTCATGTTTTTGCTGTTTTTAAGTTTGTTTTGTTAATAAAAAGGCTGGGTCCAATCAGAATAAAATGTTAATGTAAATGGTGGTTATCGTTATCGGACGGTTGGCTGTCGGCAGACTGTGGTGGTCGGTCGGTTATTTATTGTGCAAGGGTGATAATAGAAATATCAGCTTACTCTGCCCGTTGCAAAGCACAGATAACACGTAGACAAAAGCTGCTTGCTATAGCGATGTTACGCCACTTTTAAAATTAATTGCATTTGATATGATTGAAGGCAAAGTAAATACATGACAATTAAATTTATTGCATTTGATATGATCGTATTCAAGGTAAGTACTTGATATTTTCCATTTTCTGGTAGTTCTTAACTCTTCGGAAAACGGCTAACATGAATAAGTTATACGTTGTTCTGACTCTGCTTCAAATTTTGCACTGTGAAGCCAAAAAATGTAAACCTACACTTAAGGCGAGTCTTATAAGAATTTTTGTTGGGAATTTATTAAATGAAATTTTTTTAAACAGCCTCTGGATATGATTGTTCTGTACGAGTCCCTCTGTCCTGATAGCCAAAAGTACTTACAAAAATTTTGGCCCGTTTTCCAAGATTACCATCAGTGCATCAATCTAACGTTGGTGCCCTACGGCAAAGCCACAGTAAGCTAATGTTCTAAAAGTCTAAGTAAGTTTCAACCATTTTGACTATTAACCTGCCTAGCCCTCACGAATGGGTCATGTATGCCAGCACGGCAGACTTGAGTGCTGGGGAAATCGAATGCATGACTGCGCGATTCACACCAATCTGAGTCAATTGGATCAAATGAAATTTTTAACTTGTCAAATGCAAGATCTTCGGCTGGCGAAGATAAAGGATTTCAGGTGTGCTCAGTCCCTACACATCGCGAAAAGTGTCAGAAGTTGCATGCAGCCAAACGGCAGAGGTCATAAACTTCAGACCAAATCCTCAATTATCACCAATCAATATGGCTTTAGTGAAATACCAGCAATTATATACAACGGAGTAAGTTTTTATTAACAATTTTAACACATATGTACATCTATATACATATATATATATATACAGGTATTTAATGATAATCTGCAGACCGTTTCTAGACAATATGTGCGACAAACTCTGTGCAAAATATTGGTCAAAAGTAATCATTTGTCACCCGAAGATTGTTAAGCTGAAAAACTACAATTTTAAGGCCAAGTTCTGGCTTGAAACATTGTTTTCTAATAAACTAAAGTATAATTAAAAACCATATTAAATAAGTAGTTTTTTACTTGAAGAAAATTAAGTTCAACGAGTTTCGTTTCCAGTGCATATTGGAACAAAGGAACTAGTTGATATTAATAATATTTACTGTATATTTACTGTACTACCGCCTGGTCTAAATCCTAAATTGCTGAGCTACCAGTTAAAAGTAACTAGTTCTTTGCAGAAAGAACTAGTTCATTTTATTGTTTAAATATTATAATTTCATTTATATTTAAGCTTACGTAAATTGCATGTTGTTCGATCTATTACTGCTTGGAACTTGTTCAAAATGGAACTAGTTCAAAGTTTAGTTCCATCTTTGCATTTTACTCTGTATTTTGTTTAATTTTATAAAGATCAATTCTTTTCATCATAATTTAAAAGAACTAGTTCACTTTAAAGGTTGCTTTCATTACAGTTTTTGGGCTTAAAGCTTGGAAAAGTATAAAAGTTTTGAATCAAATTAAGAACCTGATCCCAATGTCCATTACCCAGTTAACACCCGGAGTTGTAACTGCGTGGAATGTTTTTAAATTGAGAGTTCGAAAACTGAAACAGAAATGTAAAACCGGCTTGCAAGTGATGGAGAGAGAGAGAGCGAGGGAATAAGCAAACTCATTGAGTCCCATTCAACTGTTAGCAGTCGCTGTCCAAATTAAGCCCAAAAAATCGACAAAACGTTCAGTCGCAGAGCTGAAACCGAATCGAACAGACGTAGAAGTCTTAGGTCGAGGCATACCAAAGCGAAGGCGGCACAACGACTTTTCGATTCTGAAAGTGCATCGAAGGTCGATTCTCATCGATTGGGCTAAGCGCATTGCATATACATATTTGTCTAGCGTGTTTTGGAAAAGAAAATAGAGTAACTTTAGTCAATATGAATAAACTAATCACTGCCTTTTGCATTTTTTCTGTGCTCAGCTGTAGCCTGGCGGAAGATACTCCACGTGAAAAGCGTCAAGCTGGAAAGGTCAGTAGCCGTGGCAACATCTAATTTAGATTTTCATTGAGATTTCATCCTATTTTATATTCTTTAGCTGCACATAACTCTGCTATATGAATCGCTGTGTCCAGACAGCAGGAAGTTCATGCATCAGCTGGGACCTGTGCACGAAGAGCTGCAAGCTTATATTGACATTGAGCTGGTGCCATTCGGAAAATCTTCGGTAAATATAGTGGGCTGGGTGCGAAGATGGGCAGCTGTTAATGGAATCTTCTTCATCTCGACAGTCTGAGCAAAACGGCGCATTCTTCCACTGCCAGCACGGAGCAGCGGAGTGCGAGGGAAACCGTTTGCAGAGCTGCGTCATAAGCAGCACCAATGACCAAGCGGCGCAGGTGAAATTTGTGGTTTGCCAAATGTTTGCCTCGAATTATGCAAATGCCGATAAGGTGCGTATGCGCTCATAGTTTTTTAAGAGACGGAATTTACTTAACCAGTTAGCGACCTTCACTATTCGCAACTTTCAGTGTGCCAGCCAGGCAAATCTCTTAACTGACGTGGAGTACTGCATGAAAACTCCGACAGGCACCAAGCTCCAGCTCGACGCGGAGCTGATCACGAAAAATTATCGGCCCAGCTTTGTGCCCACCATTGTGTACAATCGGGTAAGTGAGCGCAATTGCTGCATCTTTCTGAACTGGTTTTAACTTTGGATTACGCACTGGCCCCCACAACAGGTATTCAATCAGCAGCTGCAGGACCAGTCGCTGCGCAACTTCCGGTCCACCGTCTGCTATTTGCTGCGTCAACAAATCCCGCTGCCCCCCACAGTCTGCCAATAAACTTCCAACTGCCTATGTACTTAACTTTAATTGCCAGAAAACCCACACTAATAAATGTTTCAATAAACCAACAAACTGAAATACTCTACCCCAAACGACACTCTCAGATATCCTAAAATCTTTCATAATATTATACAGTCAAATTTTGGAAAGGAATAAATTCTTTGTCCAGTTTCCTACAGATTCCGTGATCAACAGAACGATTTGATTTCCTTTCAAGAATATTTCTATACATATTTCTTGGCGTCGGCTACATCCTCATTTGTCTGATGCATATTATGACAAAAACATTTTACCCAGTATTTCCTTAGTATAGTTATATTTTTACTAATGTGGTCTTAGGGAAACACCAGTTATAATCGCACTTAGATGCCATAATTATAGACTTGTGACAGGCTATATATATATGTATATGATATATGCACTGTTTTAAGTTCGCTTATGTGTCCAGCTGTGAGGCATGCTGAATTCATTATACATTCACTTGGAATATAAAGCAGGCGAACACATAAATTTGGGTTGTGCATGGTATACAAAAATCAAGATACTAAAGTTGAGGTCTTTGTAAGTGTTTTGTGCTGATAGAAGTGCTGACAATGCTGGTCCGACTCGACATATATTACTTCCCGCGTAAAGTAGCTATATGTGTGCCTTGAACGGGACAATAAAGCTACTGCTCGTTGCCAAAAGATAGTTTGAAGTATTTAGAATGGGTATAAAAATTAATTGTTTTGACTTTGAAAGGTTTCATTAATACCATCTAATTAAATTAAGTGAAACGCAAAATTTCGCTAGTTTTATGATGATACTAAGGGAAAGAACACATTAACACATTGAAGGTATTGCAAAACCTTCAGACTAAAATATTGAGGATATTCCAGCAGTAAAATGGCAAAGGCCTTAAAAATGTTTACAGTAAGAGATAGAGTAAATGATCTTTCAAATTATGAGAATCTTATAGAAAGGCAATATTGAAAGCTCGTCTTAATATAATTTATTGTTCTCTAAAAAAAAATATTAGTAATTTTAAAGCGGTACAGCCGAATGGTGTAAGAGGCTCAAGTAACCCCTACAAAAACTCTTTAACTGAACTGAAACGCTAATCGATGAATGTGTAACGATATGAACAGCAAGTCTTGGATACAACCTCAAAGCAGACCAGTTAATTAAACAACTTACTTTATTGAATTGCAATCACACAAAATGTTATTGAATCGTAGTTAGCCTGGTTTGCACTAAGCGCTCGTAACTCTTTCGAAATTCCATAGATATAAGAAGATATTTAAATGTATTCGTTACTTTAGTTGCATATATTTCATAAGAATAATTTATATAGATAGGTAAGATACAATTCATGGATTACATATACAGTACATGCAGTGCTTAGGGCGCCTACTTATTTACAGAGCGAATAGACTTGGTTCGGGGGAGCGTGCCAGGAAACCCGATGGAAACAAACAAATAAATGTGCAATTGGGGACTAAACAACAAAAAAAATAATCAATAATTAATGTATTTAAAATGATTTGTGCAAAAAAGTAACATTTACACAATAATATCGTTAGGTTATTTCTTTGTATGATGGACCAACAACAAATGACTTATGCGATAAACAGCTTAACAGTTAACCTAGGACTACGACTACAATAGGTAAATCAATGCGCAGAAATAACAATGTGGGTGACACAGTTGTAAAGCCCTCAGACCGGTGTCACCGTGCCTGCGGCTTTGCCGATGCTGAGCGAGCGGCGCGGCGCTGGCTTGGGTGGCAACTGTGGCTTGACAGATGCCGCCATCGCAACGGCGCCAGCAATTGCCTGAACGCGCTCCTTTTCCTGGAACTCAACGTAGCCGCTCTCATCACTGCACTCGGAGTCGTCGTCCGAAACGCTGCCGGCATCCTGTGGCTCCTTGGCATCGGACACTTCCAAGCAGCTGACTGATTCTGCAGGCGACGCAGGGCCCAGCTTCAGGGTGATGCTGCTGGAGCTGCTGTAATTGGTGGCGTCGCTATTGTGGCGCAACTGCTGGCGGCGCTTCGACTCCTCCAGTCTTTGGTAGATCAGCATTTGCTCAAGCACCTGCTGCTGCACGTTGCTGCCCTGAGGCTTGTTGTACTCCTCCTGGTTGGCATTGGTGACTGTGCTGGCCGTCTCACAGCCACTGGAAATAGAACCCTCGTCGCTGTCTGGACTCGCTAGACACTGCTGACCGCCAGTTGCCCCAATCTGCGCTATGCCGCTGGCAGTAGTCGAGCTGGAGGCATTGGACGAGATGGAGGACTGCGGCTGGTGACGATATTGCAGACTGGCCTGGTCGCTGTTCCTTTTGCGCATCGAGCTGCGGTGCAGCATCGTGAGCATGGCCGCCTGCCGAAAGTAATGATCGTCCGCATCGTCCAGGTAGTCCTCCTCGCCGTCGCTGCAGACGCCGCTGCGGCGCAGATGAACCACATCGTCGCTGTCAAAGTCCGCCTGCGGATCGGCACTGGGATCGCTGTTGATGGTGGGCAGCAGGCTGTGCGGTTCCACCTCGTCCTCTTCGTCCAGTTCCACTGGCTCCACCTGCAGCTCGCTGAGACTGCCCAGGCTCTGGCTGCTGTTCTTGTGCAGCTGCATGTCAAAGTAGGGAAGCAGCTCGTTGCTTAACGTCGTGTCGAACTTGAGTAGCTTTTCAAACTCGTCCGAGTCGGAGCCATCATTGACAGATGCAGCAGCCGGAGCTGTTATGCTCGTCGCACTGCTTGCCGGCTCCGGGCTCTCCAGCATTGGCTCTATTTGATGTGAGCAGCAGCTGACTGCCGCTTGAATTTTGCCCGTGCGACGTATGGAATGACCACGACGGCAGCGCCGCCTGCCCAGGGTCATGGCCGGGTACAGTGAGTCTCGCTGACAGCAGGGCATCATTTCTGGTTCATTTGTGTCCTCGATCTCGTCGCCCTCCTCCTCGCCAATGGCCTCCTCAATGGCCATCAGCTTAGGCGCCGACTTGGAACGCTCTAGTGGCGGCCTGTAGTTGTTGCCGCCCACGCTCAGCATGATCTTCCGCTTGGGCAAGCTGGGATTGTCGTACACGGCATTCGCCAGGCTGAGACGCGCATTCTGTTTCAGAATTTTCTCGCGCTTAAATTCACGCAATGCGCTCTCAAGATTGTCCTGAAAGAGATACAAATAATACGTTTGAGTACATGTAGTGGGAGTCATATTTCGATGTGCGCTCACCCGCAGTGTGTCGCAAATGTCCTGGGCAATCTTTTCCTTGCTGCAGAGCACTGCATGGCAGCGCAGCTCATGCTTCAGCTTCCTGCCCTCGTGCCTGTAGATCCAGCAGAAGACGCGCGGATAGTTCTTGGGTGCACAGCAGTAGGTGATGCGATTCGACCAATACTCGGTTAGGCCGTGCTGCCGAGTGGTGGCCTTTAGCCCGGAGGCGCACACCTTCACTCGCATAATCACGTCCGGTTTGGTGTGCTGTGTGTAATTGCGCCACAAGGTATTCAGCTGCTTCTCCACGCAGCCCTCGCCTGCTGAAGACAGGGGAGAATAAGTCATATGGAACACAGATCAAAGTTGATCTCGAGGTACTCACCCTTGGCCCAGCCGGTGAGCACGTTCCCCAGATAGGACACTTTGTACTCTGGATCGGGGGTGCTGATGTCCACGCTGTGCGTGCGCTTCCACCAGAGCTTGCCGAGCCCGCGCGACAATGTGCGCATAGCCTTCGTGCTCAGCTGATCGTCGACGCGTCCGACATGCTCCTGCCGACTGCCATACTGCAAGTCGCGCGAATCTGTAGTCAGCGTCACCACGTTGGTCACCTGCACCGACTCATCATCGCCGGCAATGTCGCCATCCTCCTTGGACATGCGCTTGAATCGCTCCAGATACGGACGCTCCGGTCCGCTCCGACGACGACCGCTAAACGTATGGAACTTGCCGCTGGCCTCATTGGCCAGACGCTTCTGCTCCTCGCGTTCGAACTTGCGCGCGTTGTACGTGTTGCCCAGCAGGCGGGCAATGCTGCTGCTCTTCACGAACTTATGTTGACGCGGCGGTGTGCCAATTGGCACTGGCGGCGTGGGCGGCAGCAGCAGACTGCTGCTGGCTGCTGGCCTCGAAGGCGTGGCAGCGGAGTCAGAGGCGGTGACTGGAATGGCGCTCGATGACTTGTTGGCCGCGCTCTGCTTTTTGCTGCTGCCAAAGCTGAAGAGTGTGCGGCGTTCCTTGGACTTTTTTAAGGTGTTGCTGTTGCAATTGTTGTTGCTGTTACTATTACTGTTACTGTTACTGCTGTTGTTGTTATTGTTGTTGCTCTTGGTGACATTTGGTTCGTTGTTTGGTGTGACTGTTGCTGTTGTGTTTGTTCCTTTGGCGCTGATTGCTACGCCACTGGCGCTGCGTAAATCCTCATATTCGTTATTGTTGTTGTGCGTGGCGGCTATGAAGTCAACTTCATCCCGACTTTCCAGCGACTCAACGTTGGATGTCATTGCTTTGCTGTTGTTGTTGTTGTTGCTGGCTTCCATGATGTGTGTTTCGAAGTTGTTGCTGTTATTGTTGTAGCTGCTGCTGCTGCTGCTCAATATCCATTAGTTTGTGACATGTTACAGAGCTGCAATGGATCAGAGAGATAAGAATTAGCCATGAGCAAACAGGATTTGGCTAAGCCCATCCACTTGACTACTCTAGTGATTTGTGCAATTATTAAATGGATTAGCAATTTAGTATAGCTGACCTATAAGAGGGATAGAGAGACACACAGATAGCCATTCCTTATCCTTTTCGTACCATATTAATAATAAATCTAATTGGCAATTTCTTTTCGCTTAGCTCACAATTTATATTATCTTTGACATATATTAAAGTTCAAGATCATTCGCAACTAACTCCCATTAATTGAAATTGTTTTGTTTGCAACTGCAACAGAAAAGTGTCAATTGTATTACATCGCCTTAATTGCTGCATAATTAACATTTTAACTAAGCTGTTAAATCGTTGTAGCTGTATTTTACTTCCATTGTTTTCATATACCCTATACGAATTAGAAGTTGTATTAAATGCGAGTGTAATAAGTTTCGAAGGCACAACTTAAGAGATATCTTATGAGTTTGATAAGTTTGTCTAGTCCTCAGGGGATCATGAAAACGTTTACTTCGGAAACAGTCAGAGAATCTTTACGAATCTTTATGAATAGTTAAAATAATTTGAGATATTTGGTTTATTATGAGAGTTTCTTTCTGAAAAACTTGACCTAAACTCTTTTCTTATAAGTTGTTTTTTGTTTTTTTTTTTTTAAAGAGAATCATCTAGTCAGGTTCACCCAGCCATATCGTGTAATATTTTTTTATTGATGTTAAACTGAACAAGTTGGAATGTAACAGATTGTTTTAAGAGTACAATATGTAAATATTTATTGTACTGTGTGTAGAGCCAAGTATATATATATATATATATATATATATATATATATATAAATATATAGATAGACATATCTGCCTTTAGTGTTTGTTTTGGTGGATTTTCAGTTTCTTTTTGTTCAGCTTGTGTTTAGTTTTTCACATTATTTGGCTAAATTGCAGTTGGAAAGCATTTAAAGGCGAAACTATCAAAGCCATTAGCTGCGAGTATTAAATGGCTAATTAGAGAGCTAATACAGATGACGTATATAGTAGCGTCGCCGCCAGCTGATGTTTATGACAATTAGTCTTTAATTGCTAGGCAATTATCTGTGGCGGCAGTGCAAGTTAAGGGCTGGACGAGACAGATGCCCAATGCCTGGCGATTCGCATTGTCTAAATTAAACTCTTTTAATATTGCAATCTGAGATAATCGCGTTTTGGCACAACAATTTCCCATTTGGCATAATTGGCTGAATTGGCGATTTATTGCGCGAATATTAAGAGCCCGCAAGTCTGCTGCTTGGCAATTTCTAGGCATTTCTAGATTAAATTTTGGAGCCATTAACTAGCTTAGATAGCGCAGTCGAAAAACAAAATACAAACAACAACAAGAACATCAAAATTATTTATATACTGTAAGCTCATCATGTGACTGCACTCGGTCCTTATATTAGTATGCGCACTCAAGCCTGTTTATTGCTGTGGCTCGTGTGGTCATCTCATATCTGCAATTGCCACCAAAATCTATTTGGCTTCGTATCTAATCTAGAAATTGTAATTGTGCCTTTGCAGTGATTTTAAAAGCTATAAACAGCTTTTGCCAATTATCGATACTCATTTCAAGATGTCACTTGATTAGAAGCGATTCGGAAAGTAATCATAATTTATAAATGAAAACACTTTAGAAATGAAGTTGGAAACAGCACAAATGGCAACTGTTTACAGTTTAATTTTAGCTACAAATATGTCACAGATAATCAGAACTAGATTTCTTTTGAATTTCATGTTTATTAACCACTTCACTTGCAGATGGAATCAGAATTTTGTCTGCATATTCTCACTCTTTGATTACCACAAGTTGAAGCTTAAAAGTATTTAATTTAATAAATTATATAAATCCAATTAGCCGATTATAACCTTTAGAAACAACTTTGATAGAACTCAACGTTGCGACTTTAAAGTCAAGCTGAGCCAACTCTGATTTAACAACCGGAAATGGCCAGCGGCAACAATAGTCGTGCTGCCAAGTTGTCTATGGTAATGCAACGACCTTGACGTTGTGCAGGTGTTTCTGCTGGCCAAGTCGATAAAAACTTTGTTTTTTTTTTCTGATATTTGCCTAAAGGTCCGCCGCTTTCACTTCTGCCATAAGCTGGAACGGACCGTTGTCAAATATGCGGGCGACCCACTCATTCATGAACATCTGCGCACACACCCGGCAAGACAGACATATTCGAGAAAGCCCAGTAGTCAAGCTACTGAACCCAGACTTGAGCCCCCCCTCAGGCCAATGACATCGTAGTTTTCACTCTACAGGAAAAAATTACAATATATACGTAATTTATGTGTGTATATGCCAAAAAAAAAAAAAACAAACTGGAAAAGAGCAAAGAAAGCGCGCTGAATTTGCAAGAAAAGCCCAACAAAAGTAAGTAATTGTTTGGCTGGGGACGCCCCTAGACCATTATCCATTATCGTTTATGGCCGCTGTTACTTTTGTTTACTTCGTTTCCTACTATTTCGCCCGAGACCCATAACTGCAAACCTTTTATTTAATTATTTATTTATTTCGTTCGTGTGCGCGCATTAACTTAAATACGCCAACTAAATAACAAAAAATAAAACACAAATAAACTGTGAATAAGCGACAGTTTGTAGTTTTTGTTAAAGTTTATAAGAAATGCAAAAAACGTAATCAGGAAGCGGTTGCCACTTGGACAGTCGCTTGTGCGCGTAATTTCAATTTGATGACAGTCAATAACAGGAGCGCCCCTTGTGGGCGAGGGTATTGGCGCCCACAAGCTAAGGTTATATAAGCTCAAGATATCAACTGAAATATTTTACATCATTGAATTCAAATTTTGCATCTATTGGAAATTGAAATCAACGCGGAATAAATAGACTGCAAATGACTGGAGAGCATCAGCTCCATACTTAGTCTGACAATCTATAAAATACCCAATCTGCGATGTACTCAGGGACTTCAACATAAAAGACATTATTAACGTGTTTCAAGACACTTAAATTATATAAAATATGAAGCACAAAACTCAGAATAAAAGTATATATAGAAATATTTAAAATATACAGAAATCTATATTAGAGAAGACATCTTAAATGTACTGTCAGTACAAGCTATTATCAAGCAGTTAGGCAATCAAAAAAGAGTTTACATAGTAAAAATTATGTGAAATATTTAGTTTATATTCTAGTTGACCTTCAGTTAAAATATTTTCAAAAAAATAAAAACATTGCCCTAATTAAAATTCAACGTCATCCATCTGTATGGAATGCCAATAAATCTTTAGCACATTGCGTCTAACAATGGGCATTGAAAAGAATATTTATGGAATGGCTGACGCTTATAAATTGTAAATACTTCAGCTATTTTTGCCACCTCTTGTTCGTGAAAACCGTCTGCCACTTGCCGAAAGAAAAAAATATAAAAATGATTGATCATCGGATCATATAATTTGTAAGCGTTTTGAATTTATTTATTTGACTTTCAGTCTAAACGTATCACAGCGCAGCGGACAATGGGACAGCTCCAGCAGTTCATCAACTAACTACCTCCCAAAAAAACAAATACAAAGCAACAAATTTATGTGTGGATTTTTTCTTCTTCATTTCTATAATATAAAAACGTCGAGTCATTTATCAAAATGTATTTTTGAACAAATTTAACAGCTAAATTTACGTTAGCCGCTGGCTGTCAAGTGTTTCCCAGGCAGCTTAAAATGCAAAACCGCAGCACAACAACAACAACAACAACAGCAGCAGCAGCAGCTGGCTACTTCTAGATACATATTTGTCTAAAGTCAAGCTCCACAGCCAAACACTTGAGCCTCGGCATTCTCGATAGGTAACAAGCCTTTGTGGATACAACAAAAATGCAATTTATTATTATACTCCAAAGATCTTGCTCAGGTGCAGCAATGCCTAAGCTTTAGCGCTGGTGCTCCAGCTGAGGCTGAGGCTGGGGCTGGTGCTGGTGCTGGGGCCCCGACTTGGAAACTGTGTCAGCAGCAAATTGAAAAGTTGATTTACAATAAAGAAAAAAACTCAAATAATGTTTACTTGGTATAGGCCAAATTGAATTTAGCCACGGCTCCGCGTGTGGCTCCAAACAGAGGTGTGCGTGTGCCTGTCTCTGTGTGTGTGTCTCAGCTGTCGGGCTGAATAAATCGTAAACACCGATTCGCTGACCGAGACACGTCGAAAGGCCTCAGTCTCAAAGAATGTCTCAAAATAAATTACTACGATGAAAAGCAGAATGAAAAAATAAATAAAATAAAATGAAAAGAAAAAATTGAACTCGCTGCTAAATTAAACAGTTTCGCAATTCGATTTTTTTGGACATGTGTGTCACGTGGTGCGACGCGAGGAGGATTAAGACTGAGGCTCAAAATTCCAATACGAAAACAAATCCGAATACGAATAGCAACTTAAGGCGACTTAAGGCAAGCGACTGGAAATAAGCACAAAATAAAAAGCAAGCAACAATGTTGTCGCTGGATGCAACCGACTGCGTGATTCTCGTTCAGAGTTCAATGAGAGCTGCTTGAAAAATGTCGTTTGATATATCGATGAGCGATTCATGTCAGGCGTAATCTTTGTTTATGTTATATTATATGATTTATTTTTTGCTTGATACAATGTCTAACAAATCCAGGTTTCAGGTTTTTATGTAAGAAAAGAAAGCAAATATACCCTCTTTTATCCATAGAAGCGAGCACTAATATGGAAAGGAAGTACGTGCTAGCGCATCGGAATGCATTTAATTAAATTATTGAAAAGAAATTGCGGGCTGTGGAATGAAATACTAACACTATATAAAGATTGAGCTAGATCTTATCGCTTATAGCTAAAGATAACGCTTGCACAATAGGACTTTTAAATATGAATATGGCCAAGTAAGAGACATCATATATGCTGCTAGACTAACGGATACCCTATGCCAAAGATGACAGCGCACCTTATAAGAAGATTTCAA